GAGAAAAGCTACTTATCAACAGGAAGAAAATGTACAAACGGTTTTTCCACAGAAAAATCCGCAAAGAATTTGTATAGGCTTTCAACAAAATTTTAAAAATCATACAATGACGATTGATCATGAATGATATAATAAAAACCGTGTCCTAGATAATACACAATATATCAAAGCCATTGAAGTTTGTGAGGCCATCCCTAATATGCATAATTACTAATATACATAATTCATAAAAATTTATTATTTTTTGTTAGCATAAATAAGTTTGGTTAATAAGATTACTTTGGAATTATAAGCAGCAAGAATTTTGCCTGCTAGAATAAATTTTGCGCGATGTACACAATTGATCTTCCTCGGCATTTTCATTTGTCACATACATAAAAAATCCAAAAATCATATATTTATTAATAACTGAAATAAGTTAAAACTTTTGCGATATTCAGTTATAACTTTGGTGAGTTTTTCTAGTTTTGTGATCAGGAAATAACACACGAGGATTATACGCGCGCTTACCTTTGACGAAACGTGCGGCTAATTAAGTATAGGGCTATGGGATTAACGCAGCTGTTGCTGAAACTGAGGCAGAAGCCGATTATCCTGAAGGTGTGCCAGAAATTATCATAGTCGTCCCTCGACGTGGGGGAGAAGTGAAACCACAGCATAAACACGTGATATGGTAGGAAACAAATCACGAAAACAATTATGAAACACATCACCATTCTGCTCACCTGTCATTGCAGCAAAAAACAAAATCATCAATATAACGATGTTTCAACAAGAAATGAAATATTAAATATTGTTTAATCGTGCGAGGCATGCTCTTAACGCTTTGGTGTGTGTAAAAAATTATATTTTCATGTACCCTCCTGCGCGCCCTTATCTGTTCAAAGCGATGATCGGGGAGTTCACCTGGCATGTTCCTGGTGGACAACGCTAAATGCCGTGCCATGCCCAGATAGAAACCGGCTATCACGCATAGCGGTATCGCGTAATACGCCAAAAATTTGAACATTACTATGCCTTTTTGATAAATTACACCTGTGTGATAAAAGAGCACGTAACACGGTGCCTACTCGTTGCGTTATGTCTTATCTTATGTCTTGAGATATACATATGTCTTCTTGTGTATATGTTAACAATAATTTCAGATATAAATTGATGGCTTCATATGTCTTCTTGTGTATATGTTAACAATAATTTCAGATATAAATTAATGGCTTCAAATGACTATTATTCAATGCCAAAAATGATAAAAAACACAAAAATTATTGGCTAGCAATTTGTCATTAATAAATCATATCGGAGAAAAAGTTTTCCAACAATATTTAAAATCGGGGATGATCTTTTCCGATAAATAAAAAATAATATTATCATATAAATGATTTAAAACAATATAAAATTTAGGCATTTCTAATTACAGTTAACAACATTCATGATTGCTTTTAAGATGGGCATACTATGTCTTACCAAACTCCTCGGGAAAAGGGCTGCAGATTAATATGCTGCGGTTTCCTTGCAACGGTATAGCCGGAACGTTGGAGAAGAGCGCGGAGGGCATAGCTAAGACAATCGCTAAGACCCAGATAAGGCATGCCGTTAAAATAGTTAATGGTTTTGCGCTTAAACCCGCTATGTGGCGACGTATGGGGTTCACTATAGCACAATATCTGCGGAGAGAATCGTGAAAAGATGCGAGAGTGCATTACATTTTATAAAAGGTAAACTTACTTATTTCGGAAATAAATTACTCAAGGCACACACAAATAATTAACTTTTGTATATAAATTATATATCGGATCATTGCGCATTGTCGTTCTTATCTAAATTAATGTTGAGTTTGAGATCGAAATAATATTATAAAATTAGGAAAAAATGTCAAAAATGTAATTAAAATTATTTCAATGAAATTATAATTTCATAAAAAATCAATGACCGTTAATTTAGAGCACTCAATTTTATATGAAATAACCTGATGATGTTACATCCCCTATTGTCACGTCCTCCTCCATCTATTGATATGAGTTACATGATACGCGTTAGTTAGTTTTAAGAGCTATTTTATGCTCAAATATATTATATTAAAATTTCATTTAGTCACCCGATTAAATGAGTTAAACCAAGTTGCGGATATTCATCAAGTTGCGTAATGTCATCCCATTAACTGTGTCTAACTTCTTGATTTAACCTGCGCGACGCAATAAGATGTTTACCTTTCGGCTGACAAAGCCGCTAGAGTAAATACCGACACGCCGATTGAAATATCCTTAGCGCATTCGGATAGTTTACAGATAGTTAAGCCCCATGGCCACGATTCGATTGTGTAAAGAATAGACGTAAAAGGTACGCAAGTCACAATCACCTGTAACAAAGAATTGCCGTGATTGCTTTAGATTTAGCACAAGTATCTAAATGGTATTATAAAATGTATTTACATATGTGTATGATAAGTTATCTGGACGTAAGAGAAGAAGAAAAATCGTAAAAATATAGTCGAGAAATATAGCATAAATTTTCTCTGAATCTTGATTTCTTATAAATTAGTCTTCGTATAATTAAAAATTATTTATAAATTATAAATTTTCATACATAATATAAAACATCATGTTATATTTTCTCTCTGATTGTAGAGAATACAAATATATTTTTATACAGAAATTTATTCCTAGGGAAAAAAACATTTTGACTGTTTTCTTATACATCTTTTTGAAGTAAAAATGTTATTTGTATTATTCTTGTCTTTTTATTGCAATGAAGAATTATTTGCTTCAAAAGATTTATTTGTCTTGGGGTAAGAGTATCGATAAGTAAAGAAACCATAATAGCTCACCAACAAATCGCCCAAGGCTAAAGATAGCACGTAAGTGTTTGGTACATTTCTCATATTGGCGTGGCATAATAGGATAAGAACCAAGATACCATTTCCGGTTACACCCACGACTAGAATTAATGAAAATACTGCTGGCACGATGTAAGTTTCGGGTCGTTGGTCATACGGTACGTAATCTAAATCATATCCTTCTTCGGAGCTTATGCTTATACTTAAATTGTCATTTGTTATAACCATTATCTGTAAGATAGAAAGTATTCTTATCACCAATATTTATTTATCAATGTTCGATATAAAACGGAAAAAATCAGAACGGTTGCAAAATAACAAAAGAAAAACAACTATATTATATTATTTGTATTAACGAAAACTGATAAAAACAAGCTAGTGACGCAAAAATAATTTTTAATTTCTTTTTTTCTTCTTTGATTAACAAGTATAATTGCAGTTCAGTTCAAACATCAAAAATATCGTAAATGAAAAAATTAATAGATTGTCGTAACCTACTTTCCTTGCAAATAATTATAAAATAATTTATATGAGCTAAAATATGTTCTTTAGCAATAGCTATGCTATATAAATATATACCTTATGCATTCTGTATAAAAAACGCGAAATACAGACTGTGTGATATGGTCGATTTAATATAACATAATAAAAAACGTTGGATTAAAAATGATAGTGATAAATCTGATAAATGTGTCGCAATCTCTTACAGAACATATGCAATTTCTCGTCTTCGAAATGTGACAAAGCATAATTAAAATTTTTTATTGCCATTA